CCCCCCCCCCTTCTCCTCTGATCGCCCCCAGCCGCGGCACACTAAGGTCCTGACGGGTCGCAGCTTCAGCTGCCGCAACAAGACACAGCAGCCTTCCGCTGCCGCCCTGGATCTTTCACGCCTTGGACAATGCCAAAAAACAACCAAGGTCCCATCCGTCGATGGCCCTCTTGCCTGCCGTACAGTGACGACGGGCCGCCAGAGCGCATGGGCACGCGTGTCTTCCTGGCCCGCTTTTGCCCCTGGATGCGTTGGGCCTACTTCCACGGCGGTTGGCGGCACTGGTGCGAGATCTGCCGGGGGCCCGTCGACGACACAGAGCACCTCCTAAGTGAGAAGCACTTCGAGATGTCGGAGGCACGGTGCCAGGACGGTTGGCCAGACCCGAACACTTTCGTCACTCCTGGAAATCTCTGGAGCAATTGTGGAGGGGAACCCTATGACTCGTACCACCAGGTGTCCTTCGCGCGGAAGCCTTGGCACGGCTGGAGGCCAGTCCAACCCACGGTTACCCGAGACGGGGTACGCTCGCTCCCTGGCATCGCGATCCCAGAGGACGCGCTACACGTACCCATTACCTACCCCTTCTGGGACGATCCGCCAACATACAACTGCCCTGGGGGCACCAGGGTGGACCCGGAGAGGGTGCGGACACACATGATGGATAGGCGGGGCGCCGCAAGGGAAGGCCTCAGGCTGTCCGAGGGCGGCGACGGGAACAGGGTGCGGGCGAAATCGACCATCGGGCCACTTCCCACGCCTGGGCAGGCATCAGGCTCCCCGGGCCTGCCTCCCCCTCCGCCCCCGCCGCCTCGCCCCCCCCCTGCCTGGGCCCCACCCTGTCAGCAGCGAACAGTCCTGTTGGCCGAAGACAGCGCGACGGAGGTCGACGCTCTCTCTCCGACGAGCCCGGCTGCCCTGGATGAGTCGCTGGCCATGCAGGCTGCCTCAGAGGTCGCCAGTCTCTATTCGGTTCCGCTGGACTCCCCGCACTCTAGAGCCCACCCCAAGGCAGCGCGCGGGGAGCTGATCGGAGCCGTTCGACTTCCCTCGCAATGGCCCTACTCTCTCCAGGACCGAGGACAAACGCTAAGGAGAATCGCCTGGGTTGAAAGCCAGGCCTCGGTCGAGACGGTAGACGATGGCAAAGGCTCCACTCGAGAGGATCTCGCCAGGAGAGGTAACTGTGCTCTCGGAGTTCGCGTCTCCAAGATCGATGCCAACACGGACCTGGAGGACCTGGATATCTTTCGGCTGCGGAATGCTATGCACCTACCTGTCGGTAAAGAGCTTCTCCTGTTGGAGTGGCCCTCAATGTTCAAGGTCGCATCCAAACCCCTGGAACGTGACAAAGAGAGCAGGTGGCTGTACATTTCCGTCACGGGCCCTACAGTAGACAAGATTGCAGACGTCACAGTCTGGTGGCCTCCTGCTCTGGGAGGCACCATCCACCCCAAGGGCGCTCAAGCGCTAGGTCTCAGCCCTTCCGCCAGGTACCCCTCAAACAGGTGCATCGTGGTCTGCGATAGTGGGAAGGGTGGTCAGTTCCACGAAGACGAGACCAAGGCGAAACGCCCCCCCTTGCGATGATGATCCCTGGTATCGTGTGGATTAGGCCCCTTCTGACATCCAGTTCTGGCGGCAATGCGCGGCGCTCGACCAGATCAACTACCTTCGCCAGAACCCAGCGGATCTGTTTTGGCCACCAGTTATCCCCGGTGACATTCCTCTTGGCCTTTGTACACGCCCCGCGGTCGGAGCGACAGTTGGCCAACGACCTGGGGCGCACTCGTTCATTGGGGCTGAGCCTTAGGGCCAGGGCGGCCGCCACCCTGGACCAGAGTGTTCCCGACGCCGATCACACGCAGGCTGTCGGTGACGGCCTACTGCAGCAGGTACAGCCTCTCCCCCCAAGGCCTGAAGGCGTTCTCTGACGAGGAGATCTCAGAAGCGACTCCCAGCCTGGACACACTCCACAGAATCCTTGACAAGCACAGGCCGAACGAAGATGCGACCAGGGCCCTGCAGGCCACGTTGAACCACCACGCCGTACTAGTGCATGGACCCCCTGGAACGGGCAAGACCACCTTCTCGGTAGCCTGCCTGGACATGTGGGGATCCTGCCTACGCCCTGGACACGCGGTCGCTTTGGCAGCAGGTTCCAACACAGCGGTGGACCCACCAGCTCTGGCAATGATCGAAGCACAACGTCAGCGGCGCCTCGACCCAGACACGGGTTTTCCCGACAAGTTCGTGCGCCTGGCAAAGAAGGACCGTGTCAATGAGGCACTCGTCGACCTGACGCCTGAAGGTCACTACAGGAACGCCCACGGAGATTTCCCGTTCCAGGACGGGGACAAGAGCCAGGACTTCAGGCCCTACAAGGCGAGCTTACTACGGGAGGCCAGGATAATCATGTCTACGCACGAGGCGTCAGAGGCCCTCGGTCAAAAGGACAGCCCACAAATTGTCCTCCTGGTAATCGACGGGGCTGGACAGGCCACAGAGCTCCACGCGCTCATGTCCATGGTAAACCTGATCAACAGTGGTGGGACCGTGGCCCTCGCTGGAGACCCGAACCAGCTGCCCCCCACGGTGCTCTCCAAGCTGGCAAACGACCTTGGGCTCTGCGTCAGCATCTTCGACAGGATGTTTCACGCACTCCGCGGCCAAGAAACGTCCGTGGTTCACCTCTCGATCTGCTACCGGATGCATCCGCAGCTTCTTGCCTTCCCTAACGCAGCCTACTACGGGAAAGGCATGAAGTCTGGTATCCTGGATCCGCTCAGAGAGAGGCCGATTGTTGAAGGCATCCCCTGGAGAGGCATTAGCGCGTGGGAACCCGGGCGACTGACGAAGCTGGCGGAACTCACCGAGTCTGACGAAGGTGACCTCCGCGCCACCCTCGAACAGCTAGATCCGCCGCCAAGCGCAGACAAGCACCGTTTCCTGATGGTTCACACACCCTCCTGGGAGGTCACCTCAGAACTACAACCAGGCTTCGCCAATCTACCGGAGGCAGCTCAGGCCGTGGACATCGCGCGTGCTCTTCTGCCCGAACTCAACAATGACACCTCTGTCAGGATTGTGGTCGGATACCAGCTCCAGACGGCGATTCTCATGGATGGCTGGCCGCAGGGTCTTCGCCACCTCTCCGGCGTCCTGCGCAACACTAAAGGAAGCAGGAAAGGGCAGACCGGCAAGGGGAGAGACGGCCTTGGACGCGATGGCCCGGACACACCCGGACCTGGACAACCCCCTCAAGGCCACAGGGTGGACACCCAGCGCTGGCAACTCGTGTTCCGAGAGGACCATACTGCCCATACTGCTATCAGCTCTTCTTTCCCTGGACTAGGGCAGGTCGCGGGCGAGCACATGAAGAGCGGGGCGCTCAAGCTCACCACAATCGACTCCAGCCAGGGAGGCGAGGCTGACATCGTAATCGTGTTAACAACCCGGAGCAACGGGAGCTACAACTGGGGTTTCGTCGATGACGCCAAGCGTCTGAACGTGGCAATCACCAGGGCTAAGCGGAACATCCTGATCTTGGGGGACGGACGCATGTTCGCCACTGCCACCTGGTCACAGTTTCGAGTACTCTCAGAGTACGGGCGATGGACCCGCCTGTGGGCCCGGTTTCGAGGCCACGCCCCTGTGGGCCACAGGCTCTCCCTGGACATCGACGAAAGCTTCGACCCACTCCAGGACCTCGCTGCATGGATACCCTCGCCCGTCGCCTGGAACCGCGACGCAAAGGGGGAGAGCGGGCAGAACGAGCTGGATGCCGCCAAGAAGAAAGCACGTGATGCCCAGGCCACCGGCTTCGCCGAGCGCTTTAATGCACCCCTGGACGAGCACTTCGACTGGGAGACCCTGGGTAAACTAATCTCGGGAGGGCTCCACGATATCCTCTCGACACCTGCCTTCCATGTGCTCATATACCTGATGTCCGGGCTACGCCCTCACGAAGTCTCACTGGCCACGACGCCGCGACAGCCGGGCATGCTTGACCGCAAGGCTTGGTCGCATCTGGGCTTCTTGTTTGACATGTCTCTGGGGCTCGACGCGACCAATCTAGTCCACAACATGCTGTGGGCAGCAATCGTGTGGTCGCTGGGCCTGGGCACCCCCTGGCAGGACGCGAGCTACGCCGCCCCTGACGACTCCCTTCCCCCGCTGCGTCACGCCAACGGCAGGCGTGTAACGCTCTGGAAGCGCCGCCAGTGCACCCTCAAAGGGCTCTTCCGTCAGGTCCCCAAGGCTTGGAGCACCGCTACCAAGGACTGCTGCCGACACAGGAGGCACCCTGGAATGGCCGGGTTGGGAGAGATCCTCCGAGGGCGCGGCGCCATGATGGAAGAGTTCCGCGAGGGAATCACAGACACCGACGGCCTCCCCATGGATTCCTGCAAGGCCCGGTCGCTTCTGGTCGTCATGATGCTCATGCTCCGCGAACCGCGAGTGTTTCTGTGGCCTTTCTCTCATGCAGAACAGGCCGGGGACGTCATCGAAGCCATTTTGGGGTTCTGCGCTCCCTGGCAAGAGGTCCACCTGGATTTCCGAAGCCAGTTCGCCCGTACCTGGAGCCTCACACTGGACGACCTGGCAGACCTGCACGGCCGCATCGAGGCGGTTCTTCCCCACATCTCCAAGCTCGTGGCATTGGCGCATCACCACCCGGCCGCGCGGGAAGCCGGCTGCCCGCAGACCTGGAGCGAGATGGACAGGCAAGACTTCCAGCTAAAAGCGCCGATGCTCGTCCTCGAGCAGATCGTCCCGGCAGCAACTCTAACCTCCCTGGATGCACGCGGCTGCTCAGTGTGTGCGTTTCACGTCGCACTGGCGGGGACCGATGCCTCCCTGGGTCCTGACGACCGGGTTGCGGGTTTTTCCTACATCGGCGGCGGGATTGCCCTGTCCAAGACCGACCTCAATGCCCCCCCACCACCAGCCTCCGCCCCAGGCACCAGGCTTGACCCTCCAGTCATCCCCGACGAGAGGCTCGCGCTCGAGAAGAAGAACGGCAGATACACGTGCGACAGATGCGGAAAGGACCAGCTGAGTTCCGCCGAGGGCACCTGGATCTCCGACATCACGCGCCAGATGGTCGCTCAGAATAGGCCTCAGGCCTACATCAACGGCGCCAACATGGGGTGGTACTGCGACGTCTGCTGGGTAAGCCACCTGGAGGAGCAGGGCCTCCCTACGCCTGCAGGTGCGAAGCTTGCCGACTGAGCCAAGGAGCATGAGCAGCAGAGAACGGGGGCCAACAATGACCGAGCGAGCGCCCTCCCTTCCCTGGGGCATCTTCCGCTCGGCTTTGGATGCAGCCCCCTCGAGGACACGAGGACGTTCGCGGACCTCCTCATGGTGCCGACGGGCATGAAGATCCCTGAGCGTGCCAATACCACCATTCCGGGACGAGCGCTTCGGTCTAAAAGCCGCGCAGACGCGGACCTACTCTGCGAGGTGCGACACCTGCCCCCAGGGGGGCCCACTCCTCGTCTGGGACCCTGGCCCCCCGCCCCTGGGATGTTTCATATGGAAGCCGGCGGAAGGTATAGGCGTTCCCGAGCAAGCTGGGCTGCCCCCCATCGACAAGCATGCCCTGGCCTGGTGGGGGCGCCAATGGAACGCTACATGGTGCTGCCGACGCTGCTTGGTCCCGATCTGGAACATAGGTCCGGCCACCCTGGACCGCATTCTGGATCGAGATTTCAGGGCACTGTATCCAGAAGAACCTCCAATCGTTCCTCCGCTTCAGCAGCCAGATTGGATTCGAGTTGCCTGTGGACATCACTGATTATCTTCCTTGGCTGGGCGTGGACGCCAAGGCCCAGGATCAATTCGCCTAGGTCGGAGCAAGCAATCTCCCTGGACCCAGCGCCGCGGGCGGCTTTGGTGCAGCGTCAGAGACAGCCCCCAGGGCCCTCACCCAGCTTTTGGAGCTCCTGCCGGACCTGCCTGCACCGCAGGGCCCGCTCCTGAGCGACAGGGACGTCTCTAATCCCAACCTAAGCGCTGTAGACCCCAGCAGACCTGGCCCCAGCGGACTGTCCGCACGGCGATCGCTAGTAACCTTCTTCCGTGATTTCCATCCTGGATTGGAATACACCTGGAGGCAGTTTTGCATCGCCAACCGCGACAGAAGCGCCCCGGAGCCCAGCTACGACGAGGCCTCCTTTCCTGACGAGCTCCTGTCAGAGTTCCTTAGGACCCCATATACGGCGACTATATCCCAGACGACTGTCTCCCTCCCAACCAGCGCTGGGAGGGCAAGCGCGCGGCCGCGGCGCGAGTCATAGCACGCCTGGCCAACGGCGAGACATAAGGGGCCCTGGAGGACTTATGCGGCGACGCTTGCCCCGGCAAATGGCCTCGATCCCATCCGACATGAGATCAGCACGCTGACGGGCTTCCTACTCAGCCTTGGTGCCGATGCCCTCGCCGCTACTACCATCACCTCCTTGGCCGAGTCTCCCCCAACGGGCGCTTTAGCCATGAGCGACGACAGACCGGACACTCCCATGGCTGCTGACACCGACAGGTCCCTGGGCACGATGGACAACGATTCGCGCATGGGCCACCAGGACCCGCCCGACCACAACGGCAACGGCGAGAGCGCGGAAGACGAGATCCCTCCTACAAAGGTGGAGTCCCCCGACTTCGGGGATGACGAACCCCCCCGTCCTCTTACTTGCTCAGAGTCGGCTCAGGACGACGACGATAATCGCTCAGGCGACGAGGCGCCTCAGCAAAGCCCATCGGCGGACAGCTCCGACGCCAGCCGCGACGAGACCGCGACCTCAGCCGGGGAGGAAGCGCCCTACGCCGACCGCCGTAGCGATCCAGCCCGGGATCCCGCGAGGGACGAGAGAACCCGCGACCGAGGTGACTCGCGGTCCGAGCGCTCTCCCGCGCCCACCCCGCAGCTCCCTGGACAGAGGCGCTATCACCCTGCCCATACTGGTACATCGGAGCAGGATGCACTAAACCGGTTGACCTGTCCGGAGGGGGGCGGCCCCATGTACAAAGTCCGGCTGGGCACAGTTGACCTCGAGCGTCCCAATGAGACTCCAGCCAGACGCATAACCAGGCTTCAGTCGGAGCTGGGCGCAGTCTTCTGCGCGCTTTGGACAGCAAACACGCAACGAACTTGGGCCCCTGGATCCAGGGCGCCCAAATCCGACCCGAAACTACACACGGCCACGGACATCAACATCTTTCTTGATGCCTGGAAGGGCTGTGGGTATGACGCCTGCGAGATGAACACGAGGCTGGGCTATGGCATTGACTGGGACAGGCTACGAGCCAAATACCTGCGGCACTCCCGTACAGACGACAGGGGCAAAGGCAGCTACCACCAGACCGGCCGGCGTGACCGCGCGTCAAGCTCCTGGAACACCTGGGGCAGCTGGCAGGGCGAGTGGAGTGACGGATGGCGTGAAGATCGCCGGCAGACGGGTGGCAAACGCGGCGGTGACTGCCCCGACGATCGGGACGATAGAGATGAAAAGAGGCTCCGCTGGAGAGACTGAGCCCACTCCTCGCTCTCTCCCCGCCCCCAGCGCCTAGCGCCACCACCTGCACCTCACTACACACTGTTTGCGGCCCTCCGCCGCCTTCTTTCTCCAACCGTGGGGCAGCACCACCGCCCCCCTCCCCTGGACGGCACCCCCCCTACCTTTGCACCTTGAAGTGCCGCTCAGCAATACCATCTGCACTCTGCGTGACAGCGCGCATCCTGCAGACCCACATGCCACTGGCCCCGCTGCCTTTCTCCACCGGTGGACCCTGCACTCTCGCCGCAAGGCCCCCTTGTTCCTGACTGCGTTTCACATCCTGACATCCTCCTGGCGCTGCCTTGGGCCGCGCCGCGGGCCCCTTCAATTGCGGCGCTCTGCCGCCCTCTTTCCGGCGTGCGCGCCTCCTGCCTTTGGATTCAGGTGCGCGCCTCGGTAATACCGCCCACAGCCCGCCCGCTGTTGGACTGGCGGCCTGCGGGCCCTACTGTAGGTCTTTCACCGCCAGGCGTGCCCTGGCCCGTGTCCGTGGACGCTGGCTTGCCTGTCCACAGGCCCACTCCCTAGATCTCTTAAATGCTGAACGGCCTTCCGCCGTGACCCTGGATCGAAGTGGCTCTGAGGGATGCGTCTTGGGTATACGGCGGTCTCGTCCCTCGGGTGCTATCCGACTCGGTTTGGGTAGCGCTGAGACATTTTGGATGTGCACACGCCTCGGGGTCCACCGTGTTTCGTGCACACTACGGCGCCCTTCCCCTCGATGGATCTGGGCTGACGCATCTCAGTTGTGGAAGGTTCTCCTATCATCATGTTTCCACACCCTGGATGCGCGTTCTGGCGTCGCGACTTTGATTCGCCGTCAGGCTTTTCCGCTGGACTTATGTCCCCAGTCAGTCTGTGTTACCCGTCAGACTCCCTGGATCGATGTCCTCGGGAACGTTCCTTTCTGTTCGCATCTGAACTGCTGGGAACGCCTCACGCGCCATTTTGGCTGCGCTTGGTCTCCTCGGTGCCTGTCTTCAGACTCCCTGGATGCACCGTTGCATGCTCTTTCAGGGGCTGTTGCAGACTCCCTGGATTGCACGTTGGCTCTGTCGCCCTGGGCGCTGCCCCCCCCCGCCGCCTGATCCGCGGTCCCCGCGCGCGCTCGGCAATTTAGTCGCGGCCGTTGCCCGCCCGCGACCTCCCGCCGCTGGCGCTTCCGCCTGCGGCTGTATAAAAAAAGTATCCCCACCAGCCCGTCACGTTTTCTCTCTCGGAGTCGTCCCTGGCCGTCGTTGACTTTCCGACGCGTGACGCCTCCGACTGACTTGCAGCTGTGCACGCTGGCAGTTCCCCTCAGCTCAGTCCTGGCAGCCCCCCATCTGAGGCCTCGGCCTCGCTTAGTTGTCGCCTCGCCCGTCGTTTTGTTTGTTCTTCCCGCGTTTCCCTTGTCTAATTCGTCTCTGCGTAGCCCGCTTTGACCTGACACGCCGCCGGCGCGCTCGCCCGCGGCCGCTGACTAAAACGTATCCCCACCAGCCCATCCAGAAACGATGTCCAGGCGAGCTGAGGTGATCAGGTAAGTGCGGGGGTCAAGAGGGGAACTGCCGAACCGTGCGAAGGAGGGAGGAGGAGGAGGAGGCTGGATGGATGGATGAAGGAGTGGGGAGAAGGAGGATGAGTAGGATGAGGAAGAGGAGAGGGAGGAGGAGGAGGAGGAGGAGGAGGAGGAGGAGGAGGAGGAGGAGGAGGAAAAGGAGGAGGAAAAGGAGGAGGAAAAGGAGGAGGAGGAAGAGAAGGAGTATGAGAAGGAGTATGAGGAGGAAAAAGAGAAGGAGTAGACCCTCAATCGCCCATTGATCCCCGACAGGGGTCCTATGACCCCACCTTGCCCAGGATCGTGCGGATTTGCTATCGGGTGCCTATCGCTGATCTGTCGGCGGTGCACTGCCGATTCCAGGTCCACGTTTCCCCCCTGTGCCAGTCCCCCTCGATCGTCGCCCCTCACCTCATTACCAAGGGCGCCCTCGAGTGTGCGAAGTTATTCGCGCTTCGCGGTTCGGCTCCGACTCCTCCTCATCCTCCTCTCCTCCCTTGGGAGGCGGCGCGAGAGCGCGAAGCTATTCGCACTTCGCGCTTCGCGCAGCGCGAAGCACGAAGTTGGGAGCCCTTGATTACGAGTGGCCTCGAGCAGTGGTCGGGAAACCAATGACGGCATACAGTCAAGACGCTGCAAGAGGAGTCACTTTGGGCCCAGGACGTGGCTCGAACTTTCGGGCTGTGGGGTCCAGCGCCGGTCCAAGAAATCCGCACGGGTTTCCGAAAGTGTCGGAGGTGGATAGACCTCCTACCCTGACACGTCGATTCAGGAATTGGCCGTTTTCGGTTCGCGAGAGGGCGTCGCGGCAGTCATTTTTGCTGATCCAGGTCCGTCGGTTTCGGTCCCAGGCCGTTTGCAATAAGGGGAGGTTTACTAAAGGGAGGCTTGTCCACCGCCGAAAGTTCATGCTTACGTCGTTTTCTTCTCAATGGGGATGCAGATCCCTTCCTGCCCTCAGGTCCCCATCCCTCAGGGCCCCCTCTCTGAACCGCCGAGGCTGCCGCCTGCGACTGGTATTGCGTTCAGGGCTGTCAGCGGAGGTGGGGCCCTCCCACCCCGGCACTTGGTGCGGAAGCCGGTGCGAGTTTCCATTCCGCAGAGGGGGACAAGGTACCCATGCCGCTACCCTTCCCTCGTTCTCTCCTTTTTGGGCCTCCTCGGAGGCCTTCGCCGCTACCGCTGGACTCGCCTCGGAAGTTTGGTCAGAACGCACCCCAGGTGAGATTTGGGGAGTAGCGGTATCGGTACCTCTTGTTTCCCCAGCAGATTGTCCAGATGCGTTTGTCTAGCGAACCCCCGCGCCTTGATTGCTTGGTCACGCCAGGCGCGGCGTGCTCAACACAGGACTCATCCCCTCCTCCCACACTCCCTCCCCCTTCCCCTCTGCCCCTCCTCCTCCCCCCACCCCTCCCTTGCCTCTGAGGTCTCCTCGACCTCATCCTCATCCGCTGACCCCTCCTCTTCCTCCGAGACGCTGCCCTCCTCATGCTCATCCTCCCCCCACACCCTCCCGCCGAAGGCTTTCGGCCCCTCGAGGACGTCGACTGGTCCAGTCGCCGCTGCCGTGTTGCGGCTAGGTGGATCACCTACGGTAGGTTCGCGTCGTGTCGACCGGCGCCGACACCGCCGCCGGCGTTCAACGATGAACGCCGCCGGCGACCGAGAATCGGTCGATGCCGAACGAGCTGATGTTTCAGAAACGGCCGATCGTTCAAGGTCGAACGATTCCGGCGAAGGAGAAGGAGGAGGAGGAGGAGCAGGAGGAGCAGGGGGAGGGGGAGAAGAAAGAGGGGGAGGGGAGGGGGAGGAGGAGGAGAGGAGGAGAAGCAGGAGAGAAGAGGAGGAGGAGGAGGAGGAGGGAGGGAGGAGGCAGGAGCAGGAGGAGGGAGGAGGAGGAGGAGGAGGAGGAGGAGAGGAGGAGGGGGAGGAGGAGGGGGAGGAGGAGGAGGAGGAGGACGAGGAGGAGGAGGAGGAGGACGAGGAGGAGGAGGAGAAGGAGGAGGAGGAGGAGCAGGAGGAGGAGCAGGAGGAGGAGGAGGAGGGGGAGGAGGAGGAGGAGTGTCAGGAACCAACGCCGGGGTCGACACGACACGAACCTGCCGTGTGCACCGCGTTCCATCCGTCCCCCCCGCGCGCGCAGGCGCCTTCCGGGAGCGGGCCAAGCAGACCCACCCCGACACGTCGGAGGGCGCCGCCGCCAGGGAGTTCCAAGACATGGCCGCGTGCCCGCGCGCCGCCGCGGCGTTCACCTCCTCCTCCTCCTCCTCCTCCTTCTGTGTGCCTCCGGCGGCCCACGGAAGCCTCCGTCGCCGCCGCCGCCTCGTCCGACTTTTGCCCCTGGTGTCTGCGCGTCGCAGTAGGAAGTCGTGTGGAGGCTGATGTTGCTATGCAGATTGTGGCCGCCTGGAGTCGTTCCTGCGCCCGGGGACCGTCAAAAACGATTCGGAATAAAAACGGGTCTCCAGGGCGGGGGCCGAAACATGCGCACGACGCCGGAGGTCTACACGTTGGTCCAGCTTTGTGCCAGTGGATTCCTCGCAGCGGGGTCGCTGAGGACTGCCCAAGAACGGCGACGGGAAGATCAAGCACGTTCACTTGGCACTGATGTTGCAATGTGCGTATACAGTTTAAAAATGGTGTGTATATATAACGTATATATAATATAGATATATGTATAGAGGTATCCATGCATATGCAAAACAACAGTGGACACACCAGGCGGTATCGGTATCGGTCACCTGAGATTATTTGGTATTCTCTGTTTCGCCCTCAGGGGGTAGCATAGGGTACCCTCCCTCCTCCCTCCTCGCCCCGTTCCCTCGCTGTCCCTCCCCCGCCCCGCATTCTGCCCGTCCAGCTTCCAATCTCCCCTCTACTTCCTGGCTCAAGAGCGCCTCAGCGGTGCCATCCATATTCTTGTGCCGAGCCCTCTGGAGAGCAGGCAGAGCTCACGCAGTACTACAGTGCCGGAGGCCTGCTCGGCGACTGCAGCCACGCGAAAAAGCCGAGATCCCAGACGGGGAATGCCAGAACCACGCGTCGCTGCTGTCAAGCAGTTCGGTGCTCAGGTAAAGCTGGCCTGCCAGTACAGTGAGGCTCCTGAAGTAAGGTCCAGTTCGGGTTCGGGAGGGGCTCGGTGGTTCCTTGGGTCTGCCGTCGTTCCCTCGCCATTGCGTTAGGAGCGCCCCCTCGGCGTTCCTTACATACTCATTTTTCGATTGTGAAAAAAGGGTGTTCGTTCCTTATTTAGCGTTCCTTCCGCCTGCCAGTGCTGGCTCGAGGGGGTGCGAGCGCGCCACGGACCGGTTGGTGCAGTCCGCCGTCGGCGCGCTTTTGGCGCGGCGGGGGGCCACCGGTTGCGGAGGGCGCAGGGCGCAGGGCGGGCAGCGGCGGCCGGGAAGCTCCTCGCAGCGGGCTGGCGAGAGGGCGGGGCATCTCAGACAGCCGGTGTTCGCCCCGCAGGCAGGAGAGCGCAGCAGTGGAGGAGCAGGAGGCGGAGGCGTCGGACGAGGGGCTCTCCAGCGCCCACCTCTCCCCCTCGATTCCTCCCCGCCCCCCCCGCCTCTCTCCCCGCCCCTCCGCCTCGCCCTCCCCCCGCCCGCCCGCCCACCGCCTCGGCGGCCCTCTGCTGCCGCTGCTCGCGTGCTGCCAGCTGTCTGGTTTCAGACGGCCGCGCTCAGCCTCGAGTCCTCCCCCGTCCGCCCTTCTCCTCCTCTTTCTCCTCCTCTTTCTCCTCCTCTTTCTCCTCCTCCTCCTCCTCCTCCTCCTCCTCCTCCTCCTCCTCCTCCTCCTGCTCCTGCTCCTGCTCCTGCTCCTGCTCCTGCTCCTCCTCTCCCACCTCCTCCTCCTCCTCCTCCTCCTCCTCCCTCGGCAAGCCGCTGCCAGGTCGAGGCCTACCGCGTGTTAGGAGACCCCAAGCGGCGAGCGGAGTACGACCGCGAGGCGGCGCCGCCCGCCCCCGCGGGCGCGAGGAGCCGCCCCTCGCCGCGCGCCACCGCTCCGCGGGCTCGAGGGGCATCCAGGGTCGTCGTCCCCCCTTTCGGCCACGCGCAGAGGGGGGTACGGGAAGGGGAGAAGGCTTCTAAGAAGCACCTAGAATTCGCGGGCCTTCTATAGATGCGGGGCTGGCCCCGTCTAAGAAGCTCTATCCAAGAAGCTTTCCCCCCTCCCCCTGCCCCCCTGTGCGCGCCGCCAATCCTCGATCGACGAGGGTTTGGGGCTGGTTCTGGCCTCTGGAGACCCCTTTGCCGCCGTCACGGTCGCAGGGGCGTCAGGGGGAGATTTGGAATCCCAGGGCCGAATTTGGTGTCCTCGGAATTCGACTGGGGACCCCGGCCGTGCCAGATCGAGCAGCGCAGTGCCCTTCTTCGGTTCCCGAGCGGGCGTCGCACCGAAGGTTGTTCGGCAAGAGGGGCCCTGTCCACCCCGCATCACCGCCCCCGCGCGCGCACGTGGAGGTGTGGTGTCCCGTCGGGGGCCTCGTCGCCGAGCGGGGCGCGACCTAAACGGCGTTTTGGCGGTTTCGTGGACCGTTCTCGTTTTCATGTCCTTTCGCAGCGAGGGCAGAACGGAGACAGTTCGGAGGGAGACGAAAGCACCACGAGAGCGGGCAGCACTGTTTAGTTCGAGCCCCGTCGCCGAGCCTGGACTCGGGCTGGGCGAAAGGGGGGGATCGGGAAGGGGGGGTTACGAAATTTGTCGCATGCAGCTGGTTTCGGCCTCACCGAGGGACCCATTCCTCGATACATGGCCGCCCCCGGCGCCGGGAGGCGCCGGGAAATCAGCTACGTGAGCTGATTCTCGAACCCCCCCTTTGCTATCCCCCCCTTTCGCCCGACCCGAGACCCGGCCTGGACCCACGCTCGGGGTGCGCTACAGGGGAGCGGCCCGGGGGCCACCCCCTAGGAGGGGGCGCCCAGGCCTCCAGCTCGGCGGCCCGGCTCGGAGGAGAGTTGCGTACCTCGACGGTCGTCTTGGAGCAGCCTCGTGTCGGTCGGCCTCGGGGCGGTTTCGGGCTGCCGTCGGCCCACCGCGGGACCCCCTGGCCCAGAAGCCCATACCAAAAGCCGCCCCCCCACAAGGCTTCGGCTGGCGCTGGAAAGAGGGCGTGCGATGTGGCGCCCCCGGCACCCTCCTTACACGCTTTTCCCCACCCTGGGGGCAGCGTGCACCGAAGAAGCCCTCTCAGGAGGATAGCGCGCACAGAGGGGGGGCCCTCGCGGGGGGGGGGGATCGCCTCACAGGTGCCTTTCGGAGATCGAGGTTGCACGCGGCCTTTCGAACGCCAACCGCTGCTGCTGCAGCGGTGCAGCAGTGCCGCCGGCGGCTGCTGCTGCAGCGGTGCTCTGCGTCGGCGCCGCCGCGCTGCCGAAGCGTTTCTTGACGAGGAGGATGACGACAAGGAGGAGGATGAGGAGGAGACAGAGGAGGAGGAGGAGGAGGAGGAGGAGGAGGAGGAGGAGGACGACGACGACGACGACGACGACGCCTAGGAACGAATCCGAAATCCTTCGTAACCCCCCCAGTGCCTCCTCCCCCTGGTGGGGAGAGGACGAGGAGAAGATGGAGGGGGGGAGGTGGGGGAGGAGGGGAGGATGAGGAGGAGGAGGAGGAGGAGGAGGGGGAGGAAGGGGGAGGAGGAGGAGGAGGAGGAGGGAGGAGGAGGAGGGGGAGGGTGATGATGATGATGAGGGGAGGGAGGAGGAGGAGGAGGAGGGGGAGGAGGAGGAGGAGGAGGCGGCGGCGGCGGAACTGCGCATGGACTCCGTGCAACCCGGAGTCAGGCAGAGCGATCGAGTCGTTGCCCGATCTTCATGAAGGCTTTGGCCCCGGGCCTAGGGAAGCGGCCTCGCCCGAGCGTGCTCGGCCAAGCACGCCAAAGGGAGCGGCGGGCTCAACCGAGGCACCGGGCGCACCTCGCGCCTACTCCTCGTCCACATCGAGGTCGAGCTCCGCGAAGACGTCCTGGGCCTTCCTCTCCAAGGCTCCCCGGGGGCCTGGCCGAAGTACTGCTTGCATTTCATACCCCGGAGGTGCTTAATCACGATGTTCTCTAGATCGACGTATTTCGGGTGCACACGAATGAAAAGCTTCATCTGGTTGGAACTCTGCATCTGCAGCTTGCAACATGGGACGGCTTCTTGGAGCTCTTCGCTCGCAGGCCCGCCTCTGGAATCAGAGGGTGGCGGGTGGGCCGCGAGGTTGATCGTGTCAACGTCTCCCGGTTCAAGATGCTCCGACGTGGTCGCCTCGATCAGCAATGCTATGAACGCCCATGGGGCCCTCGTCGTGCCCACTCTTGCCCTTCGTCAGGTCGGCGTGGATATTGTAAGCCTTCTTGACCCCCCGCGCTGCCACTCTGTCCGTCCGTCGCAACCCTGAAGCAGATGATCACGACTGCCATGAGCATGCGGACTTCCTGCTTCGTCTGGAGGCACAGCTTCACGAGGATGGACAGTAGTTCCAGGATCTTGTCGGAGTCGGTGGAGCCCTTTGCGCCCCGCTTCTTTCGCGGGGGTTCAGCAGCACCTCCGCTCAAGAATGCCGTCCATGCCGCGTCTGCCATGCTACTCGTCTGGGAACTCCCCTAGATCGACATGGAATGTTTCAGGTAAGTGCGATTGCAAATGCCACAACAGCGGAGTGGCAGACTCGAGCACAATGTCGCAGATGCGGCAAGAGTAAGGAGGAGGAACAATGATCTCGTGACAAGTTACGCTCCCTCTGTCCCACTGGGCATCGCAAAAGCCTCGTTGCAGACTCCTTCGCAGATGGTGTCTCGTGATGTTGACAGACGAATGTATGGCCCGGCACGCACAACATTGATGAACATGGGCCAGCGCCGCAGCAAGTGTGGCGACACCGTGTTCTCCTCGCAGCGGAGAGTGTATATGATGCATCCGCATTGCCAGTTTACTCCGAAAGCGACGACCACACACGGCACCATCGTCACACTTGAGTCGACGTTCCCACTCCTCCTTTCCGTCCTCCCCCAATACAGGCCCGCCATCCGCCCGCTGATCCTCTGGCCTGTACTCCTGCTCCTGAACGAGGTGTTGTTGCTGCAAGGGTGGTGCTGGAGTGGAGGAAGAACGAGGTCCCCCTACGAAATAAACAACCTCTTATGACAATATTCCCACATCCTGTTGTAAAAACTCTGCACGACACACGGGCGATTGGAATAGGCGCAACGGTCGGTCGGCACACTCCGAAAGGCGATTGCTCCCCGAAGCGAATGCGAGGGCCCGGATGTCCTGGGCCAACTGTAATGCCCACCTGTGCGTTGTAGCATGCATCTTGCCATGGCCATTGAGCGTAGATTTGGCGTCCCCGGGCAAGTTCCCCAAACATGCAGCAATCAAACATTCGTATTCTCCAGGATGCCGGACAACACGTTGCCACATCTTGAGACGTTTCTGCCGGAGTGACACCTCCACAGGTACGATCACCAGCTCCCGAAGCACTCTGTCGTTGGTCCACGCCCTGTATGTTGTAGAACCGTCGTCTTGTGGGATTGTGTCGCATGCTCCTCGTATGACTTTCCGGGCAAGGCGGGTAAGTTCTCTCTCGATGGCCTGGGTGTCGGCACTGGAGGGAACAAGGCCTCCAGACCGCTGAGCCCGGCACCAGGCACCATGCATTGGAAAACCGTTCTGCTCCACCGTCGGCGCGGTGACCGTGCCCAGAATTTACCCAGTGCCCCATAGCCCCGTCGGATCGCCTCGTTTGCCTTTTTCGAATGCCACTGTGAAGGCCCTGTAGGCAAATGGGGACCCAAGTACCGTGCAACAAGCAAGACTGCCCCTGGCAACATAGATGGTTCCGTGTAGACCGATCTGGTGTATTCTTCCGCCCTGGCACCACGAAATTTAACCAATGATTATGATGTCTCAGGATTGTGCTGCATATTCCGTGTTGAAAACACGCGCGTGCACGTTCTAGCATACCCCTACGCCTTCCCCGGGAGGTCGAAAACATCGGACACCTGATATGTTTTGCTGGAATCGTCTGAGTAGGATTGTAGTGACGTGTCCACTGTGCATCCGTCCTCCCCCACATCCTCCCATACACTTCCACCACATGGACATTCGAAACACACGTGCATGTCGGGGTGTGCGGCGGCGATTTCGTCCAAAAACTCGTGGTAAGGCGCCAAGAACCATGGACTAGCGATCGAATCTCCCGGAAGGGTGCCGGTGCCCACTTTGTACACTCGAGCCCCCCCGGTGGAGTCGTCGATGACGGTGCACGCGTGCTCGAGAAGTTGACACACGTGGTTGCGATCAACAGGATTGCTAAACACACGAGCTGCGTACAGCTCCAAGTCTTCAGCGTGCCGCGGGTGGAGGAGGAGGAGGAGGGTGTTGATCAGGACGAGGACGAGGAGGAGGAGGCGAAGGAGGAGCAGGGTGGTGATGAGTACGAGAAGGAGGAGGAGGAGCAGGAGGAGGAGGAGGAGGAGGAAGGTCGGGCGGGGTGGGCGGCGGCGGCGGCGGTCCCTGACATCCGACGGCACGAGGTGTTCGATGCGCGGCCCCGGGGCTCCCGGCCCCTTCCCCCCGGGGGGTAGGTCTTCGCCCCGGGTCCAGGCTGGATGGCCCCTGCATGGGGCCCGAGGGCGGGCCCCGGGGGCCGGGGTCGAAGAGGAGTTCATGCTGATGTTTTGTGATCGTCTCTTCCCTTCCCTTGTAGGTAAGTCGGGCGTGCTCCTCTACACGAGGAGTACTCAAAAAAAAAACAAAAAAAAAGTCTGGGGACGATTCTTTCTAAGTATGTCAAACTATGTTGGAGAATGTTTGGGCTACTTCTTGTGTTCGCGAAATTCCGCCTGCAGGAGGACATGCCCGACCGAACCTTGAAGTCGAGGTACAAGTCAGACTGTTGCTTTTCATTCAAATATTCTGGCAAAGAAGACGAAGCACTGGGACGACGACGCAGTGGCTTGGCGTCCTTCGCCGGCGCGCGCGCGCCCGAGGTGGCCGCTCGCTTCGGCGGGCCCGGTCAGGGCGGTCAGTGGCCGCGTGGCTACGCTGAGAATTGCTCGGAGGATCGCGGGGGCCCCCGTGCTCGTCAGGGGCAGCGGGGGATATTGGCGAGCGAGGGGGGGGAAGGAAGAAGGAGAGGGCCTTCTCAGAAGGCGGCGGGACTTATCAGAAGCCTTCGCGCTGTCTGAGAGGTTGTCTGTGTCTTCCGGGAAGGCTTCGAATTTTTGTCAGAAGGCCGGGAGAATTCCGAGCCTTCTGAGAAGGCCCGCCCCTTCTCACTTCCTCCCCCCAGCTCGCCGCCGAGGATAGGCATGCAATCGTCCATTGATTGCCGATATGGGCCCGATAGCCCTACCCTGCCCAGGAACGTGGGGATTCACTATCCCGGGCCAATCGCCGATCTTTCGCCGATGTATCGCAGGTTACAAGTCGATGTCTCTCCCCTTGTGCCAGTTCCCCCCTGATCGTTGCCCCTCAGCTTGTCGGCCCCTTTCGCAGGCCGCGCTCCTGTCATCCAGGCTTGGTCTCTCCAGGAGGGGGAGGGAGGAGAAGGGTGGGGAGGGGGGAGGGGGATGCGGATGAGCAGGAGGAGACGGAGGCGGTCGTCGTCCGCGGTCGTCGTCCCGCCGCCTCCCTCCTCCTCTTCCCTCCTCCTCCTCCTCCCTCCTCCTCCTTCTCATTATCCCTCCCTCCCTCCCCCATCCTCCCGCATTCCCTCACCCCCCTCCGTCCTCCTCCTCCTCCTCCTCTCCTCCTCCTCCTCCTCCTCCTCCTCCTCCCACCTCCTCCTCCTCCTCCTCCTCCTCCTCCTCCTCCTCCCTCTTGCTCCTTCTTCTCCCCCTCTTCTTCCCCTCCTCCTCCTCCTCCTCCTCCTCCTCCTCCTCCTCCTCCTCCTCCTCACTCCTCCTCCTCCTCCTCCTCCGCCTCCTCCTCCTCCTCCTCCTCCTCCTCCTCCTTCCCCTTGCTCCTTCTTCTCCCCCTCTTCTTCCCCTCCTCCTCCTCTCCTCCTCCGCCTCCTCTCCTCCTCCCCTCCTCCTCCTCCTCCTCCTCCTCCTCCCCCTCCTCCCCCGTCACTTCACTCTCCTGGCGGCACGGAATATCGAAACTCCTCTTCTTTGAATTAATGACCGATTGCGTTATTTGAGCGTTCATCCGTCTCACACGTTGCCTCATTGTTCGCTTCCGTATTTTGCGAAGGTAATATGTGTTGGTTTGTGATTCGTGATTGTTTGTAATGATGTTGGTGATCCTTTGTTGGCTTGCTGATTCGCGATTCGTAATTCCTTGTTGGTTTGTTGGGAAGGTGATCCTACTTGATTGTGTGTAATGATCTTGTTGGCTCGTGCTTCGTTAGCCGCGCCGTCACCAGGACTCTGATCACATCGGGGTTTCCAGGGAGGTGGGAGCCCCAGTGACCCAGCGAACTCGGTTCTCGGCCCCCAGAGGAATGGGGCTCACGCCAACCCAACAGCCAAGGGCATGTCTTCAAGTCGCCCGGGGAAGCTGGCTTCAGGACATCTACTCAGTGAGCTGGGTCTCAGGGAGCTGGTCCTTGCACGGGCGACGGGAGAGAGAGCGACAGGGAGATAGAGAGAGAGAGAGAGCGAGAGCGCGAGAGAGAGAGAGAGGCTGAGCATGCAAGCGTTGACGCTTGGGCCCCTGCACCGGCGGCAGAAGAGAAATGCCGGGCTGGGCCGACGCCTACCTCAAAACAGGGCGCAGGGGGCCGCGCAGGGGGCTGCGCAGGGCGTGCGCGGGAGGGCTCGGCGTGGACGCTCTCGCGAGGGCCGCGGGCGGAGCTCGGCGATCCTCGCGAGGCGTGCGCCGAAGAAGGGCCTCCTCCTCCCTCCTCCTCCTCCCTCCTCCTCCCCTCCTCCTCCTCCTCCTCCTCCTCCTCCCCTCCTCCTCCTCCTCCTCCTCCTCCTCCTCCTCCTCCTCCTCCTCCTCCTCCTCCTTCCTCCTCCTCCTCCTCCTCCTCCTCCTCCTCCTTCCTCCTCCTCCTTCCTCCTCCTCCTCCCTCCTCCTCCTCCTCCGTGCTCCTTCTTCTCCCTCCTCCTCCTCCTCCTCCTCCTTCCTCCTCCTCCTCCTCTCCTCCTCCTCCTCCTCCTCCTCTCGGGGACGGCGAGCGGAGGGGCAGCGGAGGGGAAGGAGGCCGCGCGCCCTGCGGCCCCAACGCGGGGGGGGGGGGGGGCCAGCAGCGGAGGAGGGAGCCGGGAGCAGCACGGGGCTCTGGGGAGCAACAGGGGGAGGGAGGAGGGGAGGAGGGGGGAGGGGGGAGGGGAGGAGGGAGGGGGGGGGGAGGGGGAGGAGGGGAGGGGGGAGGAGGGGGGAGGAGGGGGAGGGAGGGGGGGGGGGTTCCCTTCTGGGATCATCCGTGAAAATTGGAACGACGCAGGGAGGATTGGCATGGCCCCTGCGCAAGGATGACACGCGCAAGTCGAGAAGTGTATAGAATCTGTCGAGCCACGCGCCAGGATGGAAGGAGGGGGGGAGGGGGGAGGTAGGAAGGTCAACCGCGGCGCTGCTGGTTCAAAACCAGGGCTCAGCAGCACAGGAGGGTTGGGAGGGAGACAGCAGTCCAGCAGGGACGTTCTCCACATGGTCAGGGCTCATTTCTATTCCTCCGATTCGATTCGATTTCGATGGCCTCCGATTCCGATTCGATTCGACTTCGGATTCCGATTTGGATGCCGATTCCTTCATGGAGGCCTACTAGCCTGCCGATTCGACTCCTCCCGACTTGGCTGCCGATTCCTGCCGATCTGATTCGTTTCGATCGCCGATCCGACTTATCGATTCGATTATGGGCTCTCCTGCATGGCGCCCACAGGCGGGCCAGCATACTTTTTCCGAGCCATCATCAGCGACGAACCTCTGAGCAAGGTCTTGCCATAGGAGCGGGAACATCACTTCCGCGGTTGTGCTTTTGGTGGGCGACTTCATCTGTGAGGAAGCTTCCCCTGCCGGGAAACTCCTCGCATCGGTTGTGCGGCGCAGAGAACGGACCTCTTCTTACAGGCCGCAGAGTACGGTAGGTTCGTGTCGTGACGACCGGCGGCGACCCTGCCGCCGGCGTTCAACGCTGACCGGCGACGGCGATCCCGACTTTGTCGATGTTGAACGATTTGACGTATCGGATACGGCCGATCGTTCGAGGGTGAACGATCCCAGCGGCGCCAGAGACACCAACGTTGCAGTCGCCACGACCCGAACCTGCCGTGTGCGGCGCAGAGAGCGGGCCTCCTCTTGCAGGCCGCAGGCTTGCGCAGCGCGGGCCTCATGTTGCCAGTGGGGGAGCGCCGTCGCCCTCCGCTGGGCCCCGCCGTGCCGCAGGAGTTCCGGGCGAACCTGTACGGTTACAAAGTAGGCCGGCCGAGATTTGGGAGGGGCGGGGAAGCCGGAGTGCGCGGCCGAGCCGGCGCTCTGGGCCCCCAAGCGGTGTGGTGACCACACCACTTGGTGAGTCTGCGGGGATTCGGTCGGTGCCACCAAACGCTTTGGGGGCCCCGGTCGTTCTCCCGGGACGTCTCTGGCGCTGGAGCCTCTGAGATCCCAAAGCCGTGCGTTGACGGACCGCGCGGTGAGGTCGTTGAGGATTTTGAGGTCACCACGCGGCTCGTTACCGCACGGTGTTGGCCCCGAAAGGCGCACGCCCAGGGTGTTGGATGAGGAGGTGGCGATGTCGTGCAGTGCAGCCCCAGCCAGTTCCAGACGTGTACTTACCAAGTCCAGGGGCTCTTAGTTCAGGACTTCGCTGGTGAGTAAAAGCAAGGAGCGGTTGCACCCGAGCGTGGCTCATGGGAGTGCCACAGCAGAGGGAACCCTCGCTGCGAGTCCAACTGGCTTCCCCCGGAGCCATCAGGAACCGCCGTCGCTCTCGCGAGGTTTCGCAGCTGCATTGTCGGCAGAAGCAGCTGCCCATGGTTCTGGACATGCGAGGGATGGAGTTGCTACATAAGGGCCTACCATGGCCCACGACGGTCCTAACAGGGCTTGAAGACGGCACAAGGGCCCCCACAGAGACCCACAGTGACCGCAATACGCCCCAACGACCGTCCAAGAGGACTTCACATGTGGGCCGGGCGGCTCAAGATGCCCAAAGTGCACGAGTGCGTCCACGTCTTTCGATCGAACGCCATAACTGGTGAAATGGCGTGCGCCAATCCTTGCTTCGACTCACTGAAGCGCCGCCTATGTATCCAGCTGATTGCTGCAAGTCCCGCCACCGTGCCAGCCCAGCACTTGGGATGCGACTGGTAGCGCAGCGGAAAGCGCCCGCTGTTGGCACTGGTCGCCCGATAGTGGCACCGAAAAGGGCAGATGGCACGATGTGGCACTGGTGCGGGCGCTCGCAGCATTTGGGATGCGACTGGTAGAACAGAGGAAGCCGTACCGTGACGCGTCGTGTCCAGAGGCTTTTTGAAAAGCCCAAGCGTGTGATGCGCTCTTCCGCTTCGTGTCGGTGTGTCTCTCCTCGTCCTCGGCTTCGTGTCGGTGATGCCTCTCCTTGCCTCTCCTCTTCCCGTAGCACGAGAAGGCAACGCAAGGGATCGGGCGCGGTGGAGCCGTCCCGTGCCTTCGGAGTTCATCTTGGGGACTCCTCTTGACCATCTCGGGAGCCCTTTTGGGCCGTCTTGCGAGTAAAGAATAGTATGGGGGCGATTTTTGTTCGACTATGCTTGACTGCTTTCGATCATGATTTGACTATGTTTCCTTTTTCTTCCGAAATCCACCTGTAGGAGGAAATGCCCGATCTAATATTGGGCTGTCCTGAGGCCATCTTGGAGGGCTCTCTTGCCGTCTTGGGCCGACGGAAGCCAGAGCAGGCGCGCACGCCCAAGTCATCAAATCACATGAGGAGCATCCACGACGTTGATTCTTCGGGCCCTCCTGTGGGTCCTTTGGGAGCCCTCTTGGGGCGTTGTCGGGGCCTCTTACGTAGGCTGTCTTGAGGCCATCTTCGGCCGTCTTGGGATCCCGGGCGAAGCATCCTGGGTCATCTTGGACGCCTTGGTGAGCGCCAGGGAAGCGTCGGGGCGCCCGGGCTGCACTGGGGGGAAGAGGCGATACACGCAGCACG